AAGGCTGACGTTTCTGATGAAGGGTCTAGGCCCGAAACGTCAGCCTTTCTGCTCCTATGATGCTGCTTGGCCTGCTGTGTTCATCCAGCTCTGCACCTTGTTGTCTCAGATTCTCCAGCATCTGCAGTTCCTACTATCTCTGGAACAGAGACAAACGTGTTTATTCTAGATCTCCCGCAGTGGTAGAACAAATACCATTTACTCCCTACAGTACAATAAATCTACTTCCTCAGTTTCTGTGGATCAGTTCAGTGGGAACATGCAGTCCCAAGCTCAAAGAGCATCAGCCCCCCACTGGAAGTGGGGTGGTTGAGAGCAGCTAGTCCAGCAGAAAGGGGACCCTCTGGCGCTCCTGCTCCACCCACTGTCAGAATAAACAGGTTTCAGTCCTGGATGTGACTTACAGCAGCAGAATATCAGTCACTGCGCTCACTTGTGAACACGCTGGTGCCTCAGCAGGCTGGATGAATGGGTGAATCGCTTCCCACATTGCGAGCAGGAGAACGGCCTCTCCCCGGTGTGAGCCCCCTGGTGTGCCACGAGGTGGCACGACTGAAGGAATCCCTTCCCGCACACTGAGCAGGTGAACGGCCGCTCCCCAGTGTGGACCCGCTTGTGGGTCAGCAGGTGGGACGCTTGGATGAAGCTCTTCCCGCACTCGGAGCAGGTGAAAGGCCTCTCGCCGGTGTGGACCCGCTGGTGATCCCAGAGGTGGGATGAATGATTGAAGCCCTTCCCGCACTCGGAGCAGGTGAATGGCCTCTCCCCGGTGTGGACCCGCTGGTGATTCCGCAGGTAGGACGACCGAGTGTACCCTTTCCCGCACTCAGAGCAGGTGAACGGTCTCTCCCCGGTGTGGACCCGCTGGTGATTCCAGAGATCAGATGACTGAAGGAAGCCCTTGCCACACTCGGAGCAGGTGAACGGCCTCTCCCCCATGTGAATATGTTGATGTGGGATCATTAATCCCTCCTCCTCACCCTTCCCACTAATGCAAGAATTCATGGAGTCCATGGAACGGACGAATACTCCTCCTGGATTCAACAGCCCAATGGTGTTCCAGTCCTGGTGAATCAAGATTACGGTCAGACTTTCACTTAGTTCCAGATTTCTGTCTGCAAATTCTGACACCCTGTGAAAAGCAGTTTACAAAATCTCCAGTCAGTCAGTCGGGGACAGAAATTCAGAACAGACACTTCCAGTTTCTGTGGAACACTTTTTCTCATCTCTTGTTTTTGAAGAGCTGTAAATCTCCACCCCACGCAACTCTTCCCCCATTTCTCTCCCTTCTGTAACTAATCCACCTGAAAATACCCAATCTATGCCCACCCAGGACTTGAATTGAAAACCTTCAAGCTGATTGCCAAGATAACAATTTGTTCATTTCCAATTATATTTTATCAGAGAAAACAGAAAGGATAATGTCGCCATAGACTGGCTAGACCAAAGGCTGGATAGGCTGGGACATATTTCATTGGAGCATATGAGATTACGACCTTAAAGAAGTTTATAAAATAATGAAGGGTATAGATACGAGTTAATGGTAATTGTCTTTTCCCTAGGATGGGAGATTTCAAGACTAGGGGACACATTTTTAAGGTGAGAGGAGAGAGATTTAAAAGAGACATGAGGGGCAAATTTCTTTTACAGGGAGGGTGGTTCGTGTGTGGAGTGAACTTCCTGAGGAAGCGGTGAATGTGGATACAATTACAACATTTAAAAGATATTTGGATAAGTACATGAATAGGAAAGGTTGGGAGTGATATGGGCGAGGAGCAGGCAGGTGGGACTAGTTTAGTTTGGGATTATGTTCGGCACGGACTGGTTGGACCGAAGGGTCTGTTTCCGTGATTGTATGACTGGTGGTGGTGTAACCTGAGGGTCAGCACACTTTAGAAGAGGGGAGAGGTGGATAAGGAGAGTCCTTTATGGTAACCTCAGCTGGCGCGGGAACTGAACCCACGGTGTTGGCGTCACTCTGTATTGCAAACCGGCCGTCTAGACAACTGACATACGTGGCACATTATTGGTTCATTAGACATTCAGTGCAGAAGTGCAGTTCGTGGAACCCTGTTAGTATAGTGAGAGCATGAATACAATCAATGATATCAAAACGAATTGCACTGGCACTTGAAGGAAAAACACTTACAGAATTAAGGAGAAGTTGAGGGTGCATGAGAATCATTGTTGGACTAAGTCAGCGTGGACTCTAATTGCTAAATAGACTATTCTATTAGCCCTACTAGTGCAAAACAGAGTCAGTTAGCTCAATTAGCTGGATGGCTAGTTTGCAATGTAGCGTGATGCCAACGGTATGCGTTCAATTCCTGCACTGCTGAGGTTATTGACCCTCAGATTAAACCACCAACTCTCATCTCTATCTAATGAGAGAGCAGCCCACTGGGACTATGATGTCTTTACTTTTATTACACATCAACTCTATCATTGGAAATAAATGATGTGACTACAGTACTTGCTTTACAACACTATATTTAATTGTAAGCAAAGTTTAGAGATAAGGAAACAATATATCAAACATATGGAGTATAACCGTGGACATTTCTTAATTAACATTATATCATTACAACTTGATAATTTATTGCTCGCAGGGTTTTCACGTGAGAAAACAATCCCTATAGTTGTGAACGAAATGAAAGAGGCCATCTTTTAGCCAGATAAAGAAATGTGTCAAGATGAGAGAGCAAAGGATGATAATGTCTCGAAGAGAGACACACATACCTGAACCAAGCTCTGCAGAGTCTGCTCCCTCCCTTGGATTCACTCCAGTTGCAATAAGTGAACAGTTTTCCCCCCT